GGAGTAGCTACCCCCCTAGCAGGGGCCCCTAAACCCCTAAACCCCTCAACCCCAAACCCCTAAACCCCTTAAACCCTAAACCCCTAAACCCTAAACCCTAAACCCCTAAACCCTAAACCCTGAACCCCTAAATCCTAACCCCTAAACCCCTAAACCCCTAAACCCCTAAACCCTAAACCCTTAAACCCCTAAAGCCCTAAACCCCTAAAGCCCTTAAACCCCTTAACCCAAAAGAGTCGATCTCAAAGGTCCGGCAACGATGCCTCTCCGGGCGTTGAGCAGCTCCGGAGGATCGATGCCGTGGTGCAGCGCAGCACGCCCCGAAGTGTCTTTGTGGGTTTAGGATTTAGGGTTTAGGGGTTTTGGGTTTAGGGTTTAGGGGTTTAGGGTTTAGCGGTTTAGGGTTTAGGGTTTAGGGCTATTCTGCTCTATTCAATATTCTATTCTAGCATACTTTCCTTTGGGGGGGAATTGAGGGCTAATGGAGCTCTGCCTGAGGCCCGGCAGTAGCACCAACAATTTCACCGAAGCAGCACCGATTATGAGTAATGTCTTTCCATTTGCGCCACAAGACCATGCCATGCTTTGCCTCACGGTTTAGGGTTTAGGGTTTAGGGTTTAGGGCCTTAGGGCAAGGGCTCTACGTAAAGATGCTTCATTCGGCGTCGGGATTTTGAACCCTAAACGCCTAAACCCTAACGCTAGACCTCTAAACCCTACACCCCCAAACCATAAACCTTCAGCCCTAAGTACAAGGCAGCAGCTTGCGATGTAGACTTAAGCCTGACCGTCAGCCCCGTCCCCTGCACGGCATCATGTTGCAGCCAGGGGTGTGGAGTTTAGCCCATGCCCAAAGGGTCTAAATACGTATATGGTAGGTACTTTGGGGCCCAAAATATCTACTATATGGGTACTTACACCCTTTGGGATGGGTCCACGTACCTGATGATCTTAAAATCTCCCAATCCAATGCCATCCTTCATCATGACTCTCCTAAACACAAATCCCCTTTTTGGGGGGGGTCCATTGAGCCCTTAAAGGAACGCTTCTGATAGAGTGCCATTAAAGTAACCCTTCAAGGAGAGGGTTACTGGGCCGGGTCGAACCGCTGCATCCGAAGGCTAGCGGTCGAAACCCATTTAAGGTTTAAGGGTTTAGGGCTTGGGGTTTAGGGTTTAGGGTTGAGCGTTTTGGGTTTAGGGCTTAGGGTCTAGGGTGAAAGCTGGCAGTGGCTCAGGCAACCGAGAGCGACTCAGCATCTCGGATGCATCTTATGCGACATGCATGCAAGTTCTAAGGGTTTAGTGTGTGTGTGTGTGTGTGTTTGTGTGGAACTCTTCACCGTCTAATCGCTGGGGCTGAGTGTCCCTTGGGCAAGGGTACCAGACAATTTCGATGTACTAGACGGATGCAGCATACCCAAGGGCACGGCAAGCCGTAGTGTGTGAAGCAGTAGCCCCACGCAACATGCGTGTTTAGCCTAAATGCCATGGTCAAGCACGAGGCGAACAGCAGCATGGCCGTTTTGCTGCTAGTCTCGCGCAGCCCAGAAGTCTGCGCATCTTCTGTACAGCTCAGCTGCCCAAAGAACCACAATATCTCAGGCTGCAAAAGAGGATATTGCGGGAGACATTTGCAGGAGGATCGCTCCAGCCCCAACCACAAACCCAGGCCCTGCCGATGATGTTGCCGCTCACGACAAGTTGCCAGTACATGGACACGTGCAGGACGCGTCCGCATCTGACAGAATTAAGATACAATGTTGAATTTTGGCCGAGCTTCGGCGCCCGTTGAAAGCTGCAAATTGCCCGCGTCCCGCTCTCAACTTACAAAAGGAGAAAAGAGTCAGTCTTGTCTCCCAGTGCAGGTGCACAGTTGCAACTACCTCGGGAATGTGCTATGGACAGCCTGGAAACTAGTATATGCCGGTGGTTGCATGGACGTCTGTGCGGTTTGGAGCCAACTAGGAAAGCAGATCTCTTCAAGGCGGTTGCGCACATAGTCTTTGCAAGCGATGTTGTCGTCCTTCCATTCCACCCAATCAGTCAAGCCCCAGAAATGGATGATGCTGAGGCTCTGGTAAGCCCAGGACTGCTTCAAGCGATGACTCCACATGGGAGTTTCCGAAAATTAGGGGTACTTTATTTTGGGGTCCTTATATTAAGGATCCTATTATTTAGGGTACTATATTAGGGTCCCCTATTTTCAGAAAACCCCACATGAACCTTGTCTTGTGCAAGTCGTTGTCTGGGAGTTGCCAAAGACGAGAACGTCTCATGGCTACTGCCAGGACCACTTCAAGATGCAGCGGCAGTTTCCAACCCAACTCAGAAATGCGACTGCTGCATTCCTCCACGATTCTAGGCCTAATGCTCGTCTGGCCCAAGTGTCCTGCAAAAGAGACAACGATGTCTCCATCAGTCCATCCAAACCGTACATAGAAGCACCTTGCAACAGTGTGGGCAAGACCTTAGTACGGAAAAGGTTAAGAGCAATGTCAATCTAGGGAGGGGCGGCTTTTAATGAGGCCGCAAATCGATCCCCGTACCACGCCAGCAAGCGCGGCACGATATGTGAGAGTGTGTCTTGGAAAGAGAGGGACACAGTCCACTTGAGTCCAAACCGTTTGTGCTCGTCGCGAATCGTCAGGGGCTCACCATCCAGAAAGAGGGCCGAGTTGGCAGGGAGTAGGGCGGGAGAAGGCGGGTGCCCACAAACTGAACCAACAGTCTTGGAGGGGCCTACATGAAAAGATGCACCATGCCTGCAAGCCCAGCTGGACAGGATGTCCAGGCGGCACTGTGCTTCACCTCTGCAACAACCCAAGATTACAGGGTCATCCGCGTGAAGCACTGCCATCAGTCTGTCTGGGGCCAGGTCGCACATGGCCTTGAGAGCGCTTGCTTCCATAGCCAATTGTTCAGGTTGTATCCACAGAGGATGGCGTGCTTCAGAACCTGAACTGTTTGAGGGCATGGTTTGCCATGACCACTCCAAGTCACCTGAGACCAAGCATCGGGGACTTTCATCTCCAGGCCTACGCCGCATTCAAAAGCAAGGATTTCCCTGACTAGAGAATTTAAGAAACAAGGAAACACGAATGAACCCAAAGTTCCCCCTTCAGGGATGCCAGTGGTGACCAAAGTTTCCGTCAACCCACTGTACCAGATTAACACCGAATCAAAACCGCAATATGGACGACCTCGTCGGAGGTCTTTATTCGAGGCATTAGTGTCTTTGCACAGCCTGAGCAGCAGAAACATGCTCGGGGCCCGCACTACAAATTGCACCAAGAGACTCCAATCACAGAAGATCGTTCATAGTAGTAGTGCGGAAGACCAAAAAAACTTCATGGCATGACACAAAGACATGAAATAGTGACTCATCGCCCGCCTGTCCAGACAGTGAGTCTACCAGTAGAAAAGAAGGAATAGGGTTTGAGACAACCTTTGCCCCATGGTAGATCTCCAAGCAAGAAGGATCCTTTCTTTTCACTGTGCCTGGGGGGGTCCATTGTGTTGGAAATTCAAAATGCGCCAAATCCTGGCCTAATGTTGCCCGAGCATGTCATGGAGTCCTTTTCCGACCGAACATGGGTGGGAACATGCAGGATGTTTGGTGCAAGCATAGCCGACCCTACAGAACCTACCTTTGAGGGGTTCCCCATTATGAGTTCTTAATGTTTGTCCCTAAAAAGGTATGTTATTTGGGGTGAAGGTGGCGGCTATGGCTGACGTCTATCAGTTGCAGCACACCAGTTTTCAGTCGTATCCAGCGCACCCAGACCAAGCTCTATGCCTTGAGTCCAATCCCAATCCCACGTAGACCTTCTTGGCGCAGTTTTTCTTGTCAAGAACCACGAACTGTCTGGCAAAACAAGCTCCGAGGCCCCATGACTAAACCATAGACCCTCAAACCTGCAACCCTACCGACCCTGGCCTAACTCTGAATTCCTAAACTTCTCTCGGGTTTAGGGCCCAGCATCCCACACTTTCGAAGGCACAATTCGCCGTGCCGAGAGGCGCGAACGCTTTGCGCTCTACAACGAAGAGTTCAGGCCGGAAGGGCTTCTACAAACCCAGGCTTTAGGGTTTAGGGTCCGAGGAACCTGGATAATTAGAATAGTTTTCCTTTGAGGGTTCCGTTTCCGATATACGGGTCTCAGTCAGACTATCCCCTTGTAATGACCCCTAAACCCTAAACCCTAAACCCTAAACCCTAAACCCTTTATTCAAACCTGCAGTATTCTTGGCCTTCAAACCCCAGTCTTTTCAGTCAGGCCCCTTTTGGTTACATCTTTGCACAGCCACAACCATATATTTCCGGTTCAGAGAAGACAAGTTTAGCGGGTTCAGGGGGGTTGGTTTTGAACTTGAAGCAGCCGGAAGAGCTGACAGAGTCACAGCAGAGCTGCAGCTGTAAAGCTGGGTTTGTTCCTGTACTACGGCCTATGCCTGGAATTCCGGCTATATACGAAAGGTTACTGCTCCTTGTGAACCTTATACAAAGTTGTTAGTAATCGTTAGTTCCCATGGCCCAGTAACTTATTGTGCAGGCAAGCCGAAGCCCTAAACACTAAAAGGCACCATCCAGCCCATTTGGCGGACACTTCGCTCCAAGGTGTTTATACATCTGGTCCCTCAAAGACTCAAATCTAGACTCTAACCTCTAAGCCCTACACCCGAAGCCAAAAACAGTCCCACGGCGCAGGTGCCGACAGCATGCCATGCAGATCGAGGCAACCGACCGAAACACTGGTTTCTTGTTTAGTTTGTGTTCTTAGTTGGTTTAGGCTTTAGTGTTTGCTCTGCCAGTTCGGATTTGGCTTGATGGTCTAGGCTGGGAGGTGTTATATATATATATATAAAAGTGTGTATATATATATATATATATTATACATACTAGTGTGTATATATATATATATCCATTCATATCAATATATAGAATTTTTGTGTCTATATATATATATATATAGGTTTTGGGTGTTTGGGTTAGGCTTCGGAGTTGCCGCGCCTAGACGTGGAAGCTGTAACCAACTTGCTCTTCCCTCTACAGCAATACTTAGCTCTCCAATACCCAACCTTTAAACTTTTTGGGTTCTTAAAGTTTAGTAGTAATCTGAAAGTTTAACCTTTTATTTCCCTGGCTTATTGGGGAAGTAAGAATATCTCTCAACTTCGAATCACAAAGCTTTGCTATTCGGGTTTGGATTTTGGATTTGGGGTTCGAGGGTTTCAGGCTATACGCACTTATACGGCCTGTCGGCTGTTGGCTTCAATTCGGGTTGCAGGTTTAGGTGGTTGCAGGATATATTGGACTTACTTGTAACAAGCGCATGCCGGAGGGCCAGAGATCTGTCGCCAGGCGATGCGCCTGGAGATCGAAGCCATGCAGGTCCGGTTTTTCATATGAATACCCGGGTAGCCTAGTCCCTAAACCCGGTATTTATGAGATGATATCGATTTGAGAGTACATGTGCAGGTCATGTGGGCCGACTGATTTCTCGGTATTGTCCCATGCTATACATGCGAAGATGCACGCATGCATGCATGTATGAATGCATGCAAGCCTGCATGAATGCATCCATGAATGCATACATACATGCCTACGAACTAACATACATACGTACTTGCTTATGTGTTTACATGGATTGATAGATGCATCGCGAAGGATTTGAGTTGAGGTGCCCGCAACCCCTGGAAGTTCATTTGTTCCCCACCCTCGGTGTGGGGTTGTTAGATTTTAAAGTCAGCTATTACTCCTCGCCGACTACCTCCTGGAGTGCCCAACCCCACAGACTAGCGTGAGACTCCCTGGAGTGCCCAACCCCACAGACTAGCGTGAGACTCCCGTGAGATTCCCTGGAGTGCCCAACCCCACAGACTAGCGTGAGACTCCCGTGAGACTCCCTGGAGTGCCGAACCCCACAGACTAGCGTGAGACTCCCGTGAGACTCCCTGGAGTGCCCAACCCCACAGACTGCCGTGTGGGTGGGGATGTTCGAAGTAAAATAATTTTGAAGGCCAAGTTCAGCTGTTTGCCCAAAGTGTTCCAAGTACCTACACGACCTACATAGTTAGTAGAAAGCAGTGGAATGACTATTATGGTTTGTATTCCCCATAGAGGTGCTAAGGACTTAGTAGCTGAGTGGATACACTTTTACACTTTCGGGCTACTATTACCCACTATTAAACTGAAAGTGTAAATTTGGGGGGGGGGGCTTATGAACTCAGCAACTAAGAGGACCCTTTTGGGTTTGCACTACAGTAAGGCCGACACCCTAACTCTTTCGCGGCCCACCAGTTGAAAGCCCGAGTAAGCGCAATACGGTTGATGAAATAAGTCCTGCATTACCCATAATAAGGAATATACCCATAGTTCCCATAGTTTAGGATCCTTGAGGTAACGCAGGATTTATTTCATCAACAGTATCTCGGCCTGAATCATTTCCAACATGGTCCCTTAGGGTTGCTGAATGAAGTTATACGGAAATATACCCCCAAAGCCAACACCCTATACTGATGATAAGGCCGTACACACTGTTCCGTAGGGTTGCTTAAAACAGTTACACTATAACTTTTACATACCCCCAAACCCTACCCTTAGAACCCTAGAACCCTAGAGCCCTAGAACCCTAGAACCCTAGAACCCTAGAACCCTAGAACCCTAGAGCCCTAGAGCCCTAGAGCCCTAAACCCTAAGACCCTTAAGGCCCTTCAAACACCCTGGATAACGTCAAACATCCTGGGCCTGACGCCCGAAAGCCCAGAATCCCAATACGATCTTAGGACCCGAAACCAACCCTAAACCCTGTGGCCCTGTGCGTTTGGGGTTTTGCCGTGTTCTTCGGTGACAGTCCCAAGAAGCACATTCCAACAGCTCTTTGAGCTGCCACAGGCTTCGTTTCAACTTTGGCAGCATCTGTGATTCAGTAAGCATCAAACTCGCGGTGTTGTAGGGGTTGAGGGCAGACCCAGTACCCTGAACATGCGCTTTACTTGTCAACTTTGTGGATTATGAACAGCAGGAGCCCCGCTTTCAAAGTGTGTGTGTGTGTGTGCAGGAGCGGCGCTTGAACCGCATGAAAGCTCGCTCCGAGAGGTCCGGATCTTGGCTGTTGTCTGACTGGCTGCCTCGTGGTCTTTAGGGCTATAATTTTACGGGTTTCTATCTGAGCTCGATGAGTTGTTTTAGGGTTTCAGGTTTAGGGCCTTATGCTTGAATGTGCGGGGTGTAGGGTCGCAGTGTTTGGGGATTTGGGTAGCATCTCTGCTTCAGTTTGTGTGCGGTTGTTTCATCCTGAGGTTTGAAGCTTAGCATTTTAGAGTTACGGGCTACCTGCCTGGGGCAACTCGGGTAGTTCTCTAAATCAGGGTCCCTGCCAGGCTTAGGGTCCCGCTCATAAGGGTGCCGTACTATTTCGGGGACCCAGAAAGGGCACCCTAACATAGAGAACTACCCAGCTAGAGTCTCAGGGGAAGACTCTGTGGTTGAGTACCTTAAGAACCCCAAACCCACTGTTTTGTAGGTTCTTATTATAGACCCTAATGTGGGATTTATAGGGACCCTACAAAAAAGTAGGTTTTGGGTTCTTAAGGTAGAGGTTGTAGTGGACCAATGAAGGCTCGGTTCGGCCTCTAAGCGCCCCTACAAACAGCGCGCTAGACCCGAAGCCCTATATGACTATATGGGTAGTTCTCTAAATTAGGGTCCCTTTTAGGGTCCTTTTTATAAGGGAGCCATACTATATTTGGGATCTAAACAGGGGCCCTAATTTAGAGAACTACCCATATACACCTTAAACCCTCATAAGCCCTAAACCTTAAACCCCACACCCTAAACTCCCCAAACCGTCAACCCTACACCCTAGGCTAAGGTCTAGCCTAGCAAAGTGCTCTTTAGTGTAAGACGTCGCTGCCGGGTGCAAGAAAGGGGCATAGTATCGCTGTTTGTATTCTTCTTCGTAATACTTTTTGGATTATTTCAGCTATTATTCTTAACAGTGGTATTCTGCCAAGTAGGAATCTGCAGTCATTCATTTTATTTCGATTATTATTAGTTCTAAATTGTGCTATTACTGTTGTTTCTCCTGCTACTTCTTCTAGTGCCACGACGACGAGGACGAGGACGACGACGACGACGACGATGACGACTACTACTACTACTACTACAAACCCTACACCCTAAACACTACTACTCTCGCTATTTCGTATTAGTTCTTGCAAAAGGACTTCAGGGTTGGTTTCTGGTGTATTGTAGTGCTTCAGGGATTTGGCTCCGGGGGCTTAGAGTTTAGGCTTGAAGTCCGCCCTAAGCCCTAAACCCTAAACCCTAAACCCTAAACCCTTCAGGGTTCAGTGTCCGTGAGGTGGGTGGAGGAAATCCACGAAGTTTGCGAGGACGAGAAGCGTAAGCAAGAGGACTGCCTGAGAATCTCGTTGCTGCTGCTGCTTGTTTTGGAGGGAGTTCTAAGGGTTGCTACAGTGTTCTGTAAAGGATTTATAGTGGGTTGTAGAGTTTCAGAGGCTGCTTGGCCTGAAGCACTGAGGTTCCAACTACCCTCTATTATACCTCAATTTCCCACTCTTAAGGACCGCAAGGCTCTGTTTACAGGCACTTGGGGGGTCCTCGGAAGCCTCTTCTGTCACAAACAGGAGCTGGTGGAAGAGGCGGCGCTGCGCGCAGAGGCGAACAAGTCCAAGGGCAAGAAGAAGCGGAAATGAGGCCTACAGGGAGTTCGCTTCGAGGGTCCGAACACACGGAGTTCTCTTTTGTAATATCCCTGAGGGTTCGAGTGTGGTCTTCTGTAATATCCCGTAGAGTCCGACTACTAAGGGAAGTTCTCGTCAGTAATATCCCTGAGGGTCCGAATGTTTGCTTCTGTAATATCCCTGAATTCCGAATGTCATAACGTATCTTCATGCCACTGCTTCCCCAACTGGTATCCTAACCCAAGTACCAAATCCAAGGCTTGTTAGGGTTGCTTTGTGAATAGGGCTCTTAGGGTAGAGTACAGTAAGGTGGTTGCTTTGTCAGGAACTGCACGGCTTTTGTAGAGCCTTCGCTTTGGGCCTTCAGGGTAGCATTTTTATCTTGAATCCTAAGCCTGAAGGGCTTCGGGGTATAATTAATAATGCTGCATCCTCAACCCTACCTTAAGAACCCAAAACCCACTTTTTTGTAGGTTCTTATTATAGACCCTAATGTGGGATTTATAGGGACCCTACAAAAAAGTAGGTTTTGGGTTCTTAAGGTAAACTCTAAACCTAAGCCCTAAACCCTAAACTCTAAACCCAAGGCCCAGGCCAAGGCCTGAGGCTTGCGCATCTAGGGTTTAGGGTTTAGGGTTTAGGGTTTAGGGTTTAGGGTTTAGTGCTTGATTGGTGTACTGGTAGTGCCCTTAACCCTGAAACCCTAAACCTTA